AAAGACCAAGAAGTCCTTGATGAAGCGCTTGTGAGAAGCCAGTGGGGACATGTAGCAGAGATGCAGGTCCATCAACACTATTGGAGGACAGCCAGCCAGTTGGACTTGACGAGGCCAACCAGAACAAATTCCAGCGGCCATGCCAATTGGGCGAGACCCTGCCAGAACTTATTCAGATTCGGAATGGCTATCGACCGACAACCCTGAGATTGGGGTGGGCAGCCGTGCTGAAGCGTGACAACGCGTGGTTGGTCAATTTCCAATGAGGTCATTGCCGGACTCCAGCGTGACACCCTGTGACAGGGTTGGACACCATTACACTGTAATTTCCGGGTCCGTAATACACAACTTGCCCAAAGCCTGTTTCCATCCCCGATCAAGTTGCGCATCCGGCTGCTCGGTTGACCCGCTGATGTCATCCTTGGATCGCGCCACGTTTGTGAAGGTGTGGTGCTGAGGCCAATCTCTTCGCAAACCAATCCACACCTCTTAGAACGTTAGTGATCGGCAAATCAATCTGTGATGCTTTAAGTGGGGTCGGCGTGCAATGAACACTAAAAATTCCTTGCAACAACCTGAAAAGGCCGCTCAATTGGCTCTTAAAGCCGCTGAGCATTGCGGGGCAATGCCAACCCCGACCAATTCCAGGAATGCGAGACCATGCACGCAGAAGCTAAGATGCCCCTTTTGAACTATGTTTTTGTTCTTCATGTGGTTCAGTCTTGCGGGCGGGAAAAAGCACTTAATCAAAGTAAGGAAGCCATTGGTTGAATCTTCAGAATCAGAATCATCAGTGGAACCGCACTCGCTGGACTTCGACCATGTGGCTGACAAGAACCGCGGTCAGGTTGAACCTGGTTTGGTGCCTATGGAATAATTTCATGATAGTATTCACGCACGCATATATGATCATATATGTTCATACTTATGTCACACGAACGTGGACGCATCCTTGAATAGTCTCAGGCGATCAAGATTGTCAAGGAGATGGGCAAGGGCAAGAACAATGAAAAGCTTGAGCCTAAGAAGAAGCTGCCCCATGTCAACACAGCTTCGCTGACTACTTGTTGTGCACTTTGGGCCGTGGCAACACTCGATTTCAGATTGCTCTTTATGTCAACCTGGTTGGCGGTGGGCCTGTTGAATCTATTGCGATAACAATTACAGTATATTTCATGTGACCATCCAAGATAGGTCCAGTGACCACCTCACCAAATCAAGATCGATACTACAGTTGGCTTTACTCACAACATCTGACCTTCTTGGCCCGATCCAGCCAAAGCGACCGGGCAGCCGAAGGCAACTTCGTGCGCAGAGCTGCAGCGGGCAGCGTTGCTCTGTGTGGAAAGGTTGAGGACAGATGCAGGACCAAAAGGAGTGGAAGTGCAAGTGGACTTCTATTGTTTCGGTACGCGTATATAGTGTTGGTCTATTTGCTAAGGTCCTGCTTGGTCAGATTGTTTTTTGGTTTGCAGAACAGCCCCATCTAGGCATAGGGGGGCGCATCACAGTACATTGACCAAGACAGCTCTCTTTGATTGGCGCTCGTGGAAAATACCTAACAACAATTTCCCTGCGCTGAAGTTGCCGCTGTCACCATATTTTGTTGAAGTACGTTGGGGAAGTCTCATGTTACCTGCACTATTGTCTAATGATATAGGTTTGGTGGTTGGGTTTGAAACCCTTGTGGTTGACCAAACTAGAAACGGATTTGCAGGAGCTTGCGCTTTACCGGCACCAGGCCAATAAAGTCTGGCTGGCTGGATGCGGATCACGCGGTTGGGCTTGGGCTGTGATTGGCTCTACGGGGACAATACGGGAATGATTGTCGCTACAACAAGAGTGGTGAGAAGTTAATCACCATCACTTGGAATGCAGTGTTGGCAGAGAGCACCAGTTACTTGCCGCATTGTTGCTTTCAAATTTACACAATACTATAGGAGACGATGGACGATACTGTGGGGACAGGGTTGGAGGGACGTGGGCGCAGGGCTGCAGGGACAAGAGGTTGATGCGACTAATTGCGGGGGCGGGATCATAGCAATCTAGCGGTAGCTTCCGATGATTCTACACTTTGCAGTTTTGATACTGCGTTAGGTTTGCTGATCCCATCCCGTCCATACCGGCTTTGTCGTCTCTACCTGGCGTTGAAGCCCACCTTGAACACGCGGCGGTTGTTGCTGTTGGAACTCCTCGCCCTCTCCCCAATTGGGCATCTCTCAGGGTGAGCAGTGCGTTGTGGCACTGTTGCTGGTTCTGCCATTTCACCGCAAGTCAAGCCATGCAGGCTGTCTTCATGTACATTGCTTGGGTGGGAAGCTTCCAAGCTTGACCGTTGGCTTGATGATCTTGGTGCTCCATGGTGCATTGATTATGGCAGTGAGTTTACTAGTCTTGAAGTTGGGGTGTATATATGTGGGGCATGACCAGAATCAGGTGTTGTCACATCAATTCTTTGGCCATGGTTGGGAATGTGGTCTTGATGTCTTTCTTCACAGAAGTTGTTTACCGACTCTCCTGCATACGTTGCAAATCTGATGGCAGGGTGCTTGGCGACGTAGCTTGAAATCTCAGAAAAGGACATGTTCACATTGCCCTGCGGAACAAACTTTACACCACATGCTCTATGACTGCGCTGCGTGAATTGAGCGTTCTTATTCCTGTTCCTGAGGCCTGGATTGCTTTGCCCTGAGCCAGCCAGCACTTTCGGTTAAGGGGTTTGGTGCCCCATGCTTGGACCGCTGCTGATCCGGTCGAATAAGTTGTTCACGCTGGATACTTCGGATACTTCCTTGATCCTGCTGCTTTTTGAGGGGCGAGGTGTTTTTTTGCTGCCGATGGCAGCGGTGGTCCTTTTACCAAAGACCCCAGGCTCAGGAAGTGTGCTTGGTCGGTTGTGGCTGTTTCACGTGTTGCTGATTCTGTTGTTATTGGTATAGTCTCACTGGTCGCGCTTGTGATGACGGGAGCCCCAACACCGTTGCTCGCGCTTAGCTGCGCGCCTTTCGTGAGTGGCTTCGTTTCTTACCTGGCACCTATGAAGCATTGGTGGCTGTTGATGCCGCTTTCGTGATCAATGCGCACCGTAATTAAGTTAAAACACAAACCCGGCAAAATCGACCATACGTATGGTGACATAAGGGCAGGTGTTGCTGCCCACTTGAGCAAGAGAGTGCTTCTCACCAAGGTCAAAGTCTCACCTTGCGCTGGCTGAGCATCTCTCTAAAGGGGGTGAAGCTTGCTCATGGCACGCAAGTCAAATTTGCGGATGAGTTGGCCACAATCACTGCTCAATCCCTATGCCAAAGCTGAAGCTAATGTCTGGGTCCTCGATCGAGTCAACGGCTGACAGCTTGGATGTTGCCACGGGTTCGGCATTGGTTGACTGCTGGGTCAGCTGCCCCTAAGGTCGCAATTTGGAATGTCAAGCACTTCGGGGGGTCACTGTTGGGTTCCTTTTGCAAAAGGATTACGTTGTAACAATTTGGCCTGCGCTTTCGAAACGACCGTGGTTGTTAACGGACCTGCAGGTTCTTGGCGCCCTGCCTTTTCCTGGTGCAGAGGCTGAAAACCAAGGGTGTTGACACCCTTTGTTGCGGTTCACCATACTCACACCATGAATGGTGAGAACCAAGACCTTCCGTGTTGCCATTGCAAGGGTAGGCCAGTCTTTTTTGCCGTTGTAGATTGGTTAGCAGGAAATTGTTGTACGCGCGCGGCGCCTCATCGATGATTGCTTGCAAGCTGTTTGTTAAAAAAGACCTCTTTCAAAGCTCCGAGCCCTCTATCAGATGCAAAAATCAACCACAAGTGGCAGGTTACCGCTGGTAAGGTCAAATGAGATTTTTCAAGTAACGGGTACAAAATCAACTGCAGAGGTCGTTCGTTCTGGTGGATTTTTGTACTTTTCCGGGAGGAATGACGATGATTTTTGGCTTGTATATGCTTCTATATTTCATCGAAGGCGTCAGTCCCAAAGATTTTTGGTTCCACTTTCAGTTGCTGGACACACTTTCAATACGAATGACGCGAAAACTTGGGATATTTACACGCTTGGGCGTGTTGAAGTCAAGTGTATTTAACATGTAAAAACAATGTCAAATCCCCTGGATACATAGAAAGAAGACCGCGCTTGAATAAACCGAAGAGTCAGGAAACACGTTTGGGGGATTCAATTTTGCATCTCTTCGTGCTTGGAAATGGTGAAGACCTTGATCATACTCAGACCAAAAATGCAATTGCTCTACTAGTAGTAGTAGTAGTAGTAGTAGTAGTAGCAGCAGTAGCAGTAGCAGTGTAGTAGTAGCAGCAGCAGCTAAGCCTAGTTTTTGTCGTCAGGTACATCGGGTGTTTGCAAATTGCTGCTGCACCATGGTGCGCATCAGCGCCTGCTTTTCATTGTACTTGCATCTTGCAGCCAGCGTTTGGAACTATATGTAAACTGGAGCTTTTGGATTTGGAATGGGAGCATGCGTTTGGGCACGAGGTTGGAGCTTGACAGGTTTCTGCATGTCTGGTCACACCTTCGACTTCAGCTTGCACCTTTCAAATTCTAGCAAAGAACAAACATGACGAGTTCAGCTCCTGGACAAGCTCACCTGACCCAGGACGAGAAACGGAAGACAAGAGGTGAGGTCGGAGAGCCCCAGAGGCTACAACCACAAATGATCGCATATAGGACCACCTTTCGATTCACAGAGAATGGATAGCAGGATGTGCTTGGTACTTGTAGATCTTGTAGCTGGTTGTGTGTGTGTGACTGTTTAGTTGTCGTGCATTTACTGTCTGCCGGTGATTTTTTTTGAGCTTGGCGAGCTGCATCCAGTGGATGACCCTTCTTGGCTTGGCATGGCCTAGCTTAAAATGTAGGGTCCACCCAACACGCTCCGTTCCAGTCCAAAGACGCGTCGACTGAACCATGCCGGTGGCCGGATGCATTTTTCAGCCACCTGGCCTGATCTCCTCAATCAAATCCTCTCCGGATTCGTATGCTTGGCCAGGACTGCTGACAATGAGGCAGATGAGCAAGAAGTCGCCGTTGGAGCGCCGCCCAGTCCACGCACGCGGGCGCGCGAGCATGTGAACGGGTCCGTCTTGGCTGGCGGGTTATCAAGTCTCAACAAGGAATGGGATGAGCAACAGGGCGACCTCCAGTGACCAGGTCATTAGTGGAGTGTATTTTATGGTAGGATGTGAGGAGGACTCGACAATTTGAATCATTCGGGTCAACACATCCGCAGAACGAAACCAGGGACACCTGGACAACCCCCCCAATGGTTGGAAGGTGAGCAAGCCACCGATTGACGGTATTTGGAGTTAGATGGTCAACATCACCAAAGGTTGTTTCATCAGCCTTAGTAGTTTGATTTTTTTTCGTTGTCGTAGGATCCATGATACAATGACACATGCATTGTGATGTTTGGTTGGATGAAATAAAAAATGAACTCCTTATCAATGTTTGTTCGACATTGTGTTTTTTGTGGAAACAATTTTTCTATGCAGAACCTCCCCAGCTTTACTGCCACATCGCTCCGAGGAGACATGACACCAGGGACACCCGTGGAGGCGACAAGCGAATGTGTGTGACGCGTTGGGGAGGATCTAGCGATCCATTATGATCCAGTTGTACTTTAAAATGTGTGGGTGTGTATGTTTAATAAGGAAATTTCCAACCAAAAGGATATTGGTCCATTTTCCTTTTTCCACAAAGTCTTTAAAGAGGTTTCCGTATTTTAATATACACCCAATATATTTTTTTTTGTAGAAACCAGACCTTCCAGTTTTCCCAAGATCCACAACACAGGGGATGTGTGATCCTAGGGCTATAGTAGGTGATTCATGCATTCAAAATTACAGCAACACCAATTTGCTCTGAGAGTCGATCCTACACATTTGTTCTGGCACTTGCCTATACACTCCACAAAAGATACTGGTGGTGTCTCTGGACAGTTAGAAGATGTTCCGACCAGTTGAGCCCGGTTGGGAGGTTTATATTGATATTATATCTATAGAAGGGTTAGTTTAACCATATACGGTGTTTGCACCTGCAAGATGCGCCTACCTGGCCGAAACCTGCGAGATGTGTGTTGGTTTTCCATATAGTTTTTTGTCCATGGATCTCTTAATTGGATTCGGGGTATGGTCCTTGCAGCTGGCGGGGGGTGGACCAGTTCAACGGGCACACTTTACAAGTACAGTACGACCAATTTCTACAGAGATTACTTAAGTAGATTCTAAACAGGCAGGCACTAGATCATTGGATAATGACAATGCACCAATGCACCTTTTGAGTATTTGGCAACGTGTTTGGCTTCTCAATTTTTCCTCGGCAAGCTGCCAGCCACTTGGAGGTGCCCAAACTGGATAGGAAAAGAAAGGACTTGGCCATTCACATCTCAGACTGAGGGATCCCAACGGATCCCAGGACATGTGGAACCAGGCTTCCATGGGTGTATAAACATGGAAAAACCGGTGATCCCAACCGTGGCTAATCCGCGGGCCAGCCATGGGCCCAACAACTGATGACATCCCTTTGACCCCCCCTGCAACTTGGGATATTTGATCCATCAGCTTGTTGTCTTCCTTTTTTTCCATGGTCCTCTGAGACCCCCTGCAACTTGCTTGGGCGAAGCATGCCGGAGCCAGGTGGATGACAGCGAAGCCAGTGCAAGCGAAGCTGAGGCCCAAACATGTTTCTTGGAAGTAAAACAAGGTAACACGGAAACATCAAACAACCAATGTATATAATGTAATTGTCACCTAAAGCAACTACATCTGGAAGTGTTGGAAAGATTCCAGATGTGTTCTTGTTTAAAGGGGAGGATTTGTGATGAAGCCGAACTCTTCTTTGAACCAACTTCCGGACAACCACCCATGCCATGACATGCCAGCAGTGCCAAGGATTGGGATGTGTTCAGCAGATGTGATGTTTGATGACTCCCGCTAGTCGCAGATGCTGCGATCTCACCCGGCAGGATTTGGAGATGTTTGCTGATGAGAGCAGTCCACCGGTGTTGTGGCCCAGATGATGGCGATGATGGCGCCTTTTGAGTTCTGCAGCGTCGGCCAGTGGGCCTTCGTGGGCTTGGGTCCCCAGTGTGTCGGCCATGAAACTTCGATCGCCGACGAAGGGGCGAACTTTGTGGCTTTATCGAACATGCTGGGTCAAAGACATCGAACATGCTGGTGTTTGTGGGATTCCGTGGGGAGAAAACATCGATGTGCACTCCAATACTCCAATCATCTCCAAATAATGTAGGTGTTGGAAGCATTTGGGAAGCCCGTCTCGGAGGTGTTTTTTTTCTTGAGTTCGATCTTTGGCAGAGAGGTTTTGGCACTCTAATGAGGTAATCCATGGTAATCCCCAGAAATCAATCAACATGCTTTGGGAACTTTGAATGGCCGACCGGGTCGACACTCCATGAGTGTAGCTGCTTAACGGTGCTGCGACCAATACCTTGCTGAGGTTGACATAAGGCCGGAATGATAGAGGCGCGAGCGGCGGACACGTGGCAATTCGGAAGGTTTGTTTGTTCATCGAAATTTGAAGGACTTGTCCTTTGGCCGCACATGTCAGGTCGCAGCAGGCAGAGGATTGGGCGTTACCCCTCCTTCCCTCCCGGTTTTCAATGTTTGATGATATTGGAGTTCACCGATGTTGCCCCTCATTGCTTCATGCGTGCGTAGATGAAATTACTTGCGTAGTGCATCAGTTGCGTGCAGTTGTACTACTCAAGTGGGGCCCATAAGCTCACCAGCTTGTGGTGGCCTTCACTAGCCCCATAAAGGGTCCACAAGCTACAACTCCAGAACAAACGAAGGGGCAGCTAGGACAAGATATCCGGAGTTAGAACTTGCTGTACTTGAACGTATCCCCAGTATTCCCCAGTTCTGTTTGCTTAATTGTTGCTACATTTGTTCCCTCAGGTTTGTCACTTTTGTATATGTTTGTTTTTGGTATTCTTTGGCGTTTTTTTGAAGAGGTGTGTCATGCTCACAGGTCCTATGTTTGCATGGCGCTCGGGGACATGTGCGACATGCCAGTAATTGAGAGAGCAGCAATTACGTGCCGAACGGTAAGATTCAGGGTAGTTCCCAGCTGCGTAATCAGTGTGGATGCAGAAGGAGAAATATGTGTGTTCTATTCTCGGTGTGGATGTTGTACCCTTGTTCCGGCCATGGGCCCACCCTGGAGATTGGTTAATTGATTTAAGCTCTCGGGCAGATGCTTGAGGACGCGCCAAAGACGCTGATTGTGAAGGTCAGTCAACTTGGAGAAGGTCATCAATTCATCATTCTGTTTGTGTGGACAAACGGCTGTTCAAAGATAAACAGCTGTTGGTGTAAGCCAACATGGGTCGTCCAAATGCAGGAGCCGGCTCTTCGTGGATGTAATTAGGATGATGTAGGTCGTAGTTCAAAGCCTGGAAAAGTTTGGAAGGTCTTCTCGACCACATCCATTTACAAGCTTTCACCATTACAACTACAACTTCTTAGTTCAAAGCCTGGTGAACATCCATGGCTTCAAACCTCTTGGCGATGCACCTTGTTACTAGTAGTGATGCAGTTGTTACATTTTGCTACATCTTGTTACTAGTAGCGTCCTTGCTACTAGTAGCGACGCACCTTGTTACTGGTAGCTTTACAATCCTCTTGGTGTTCACCCGTAGCGTTTGACCTAGATCTGACAGTTTGCACGAGCAGCGACCGACCAGCGACGTCGATGTGGGAACTCCTGCATCCGCCGATGCCACGGGTGACCTGCGGAGCCAAAAAGGAGTGAGTGGAGAGGAGGGATGGCAGCGGGATGCAGCCGGTTTTTGCAAAGCACAAAGCCTTTTCATCGTCGTAGCTCGGAAAGGATCAGGAAGGTGAGCGCAGGTAGTATGGATGCTGGGAACATCATACAAGACACAGACAGTTGCACAGAGCCCAGTTCTTTATGAATGAAGATGCATGAAACTAACAGGAGTTATCTTTTCCGGGGTGCCTTTTTTTGAGGGTTCCCCTCATTGGTCATCCACTCACCAAAACGACGTATCAATAAATAACGGTCGTGGGGTCCCAATTCCACCAAGCCTTGGGGAACGTTCCGAGATTCATGACCGAATTTCGGGGTCCCGCGGTGATGTCAATGCATTCCGGTCCCACAATTGGAAGACATCCACAGCCCGAGATGGGGAAAAACAATGGTAATGGTACTTATTTTGGTGTGTTGGGTAGTGAACTTGTATTTAGACATATAATTTAATTTTACTAGTGTTTGGGTGGCTGCACTTGGTGTTATTTTCTTTATTGGTCCCAGCGTCATGTCGGGACCGGTCGTCCGGTCCGAGTTTTGGCTCGTGCGGGTGACCCGGTAGTGCTCAGAGCTGAAGGAGGATGACCAGGCGGCATGTCCCCAGAATGTCCGGAATGTGGGAAGAGGACGGGATAGGAGGAGTCACATGGATCGTCCGGGATAGTCTGAGTGGCAGACCGAAGAGCTGACCCGGAAGCAGAGAAGCATTGAAGAACCAGAGAAGAATTGTTATATTCCAGTCAGGAACACCAGTCAGGACATGTGACATATGTCATAATATCAACATATTTCATAATATTGAAGCATCCAGTCAGGTGAATGAATGGAATCTGGAATCCATGATGACATGCTGTTGCACTTGGGGACGAGTTGTTGTAAGGCTTCTACGCTCCCAATTCCACCTTGCCTGCCACCCCAAACTATCAGCACCTCAGTGAGCTCATACCAGCCCTGAATATATAAGGGCTAATAAGGGATATGTGATGCATTTGGATCCCCTAAAGTCACTTGCCTCTATGAAATGAAGTGAATACCAGAGTTATTTTTTTTCTTAACTCTGGTGTTAGTTCTTTTGTCCTGGGGTGCACATCAGCTTGTGCCTCAGTAGAATTAACTCCCAAGTTAGTTAATTCTTTTTGTCACCCCTGCTTCTGGAAGAAGCAACTCCACAATTCAATTCTTCATTGTTTCTTTCTGTATCGGACCCCTTCAGGACCCCTTGAAAAGAATTAAATCCAGAGTTAATTCCTTTCCTGCCTCCTGCACCCCTTGAAACATAAATTCAGAGATAATTGCTTTCCTGCCTCCTGCACCCCTTGAAAAAATATTTTAAATCCAACGTGAATTCTTTGTTTGATGTGCTTGTGCTTGTCAGAACTCAATACAGCTAGAAATGAAAAATAACATGAAAGAAAAGAAAGAGATAGATAGAGAAGGAAGCAAGGAGACACAGTGAAAACGAATTAATTCATAAGTAAATTCCATTTTTTGGTTGCCATAGAACTCAATACAGCTAGACATGAAAAAGAAAACAAGAGAAAAGAAAGAGCTAGACAAAGAGAAGGAAGCAAAAAGACACAGTGAAAAAGAATTAGCTCCAGAGTGAATTATTGTTTAGTGGCTAGTTTGTCCCACCTTCTTATCTTCCTAATCCCCTGTCACCTGCCTAGAATTCAATATAGCTAAAGACGAAAAAGAAAACACAAGAAAAGAAACAGATAGACACAAAGAAGGAAACAAGGAGACAGTAAAATAGAATTAACTCCAGAGTTGATTCTCTATGTGCACAGTGCACAAGTGGCAAAGTTGATAGAATTGACTCCAGAGTTGATTCTTCTAGAGTTACAGGTTGAACAGATGTAAAAGCTAAAGCATTAACACTGGAGTACATACTGTTTAACTCTTGTATTCAGCCGCCTCTTCCTTGCCTCTATCAGGTCACTTTCAACAAGCACTCACAGCAAGTGCTTTTCCACCAGCTGGAACCAGCTGTTTCACCATTCTTCGCTCTGCAGGGCTGGCGGACTCGCAGTGCTGTTGGGCCGGGGAAGCCTGGATCCGATGGTTTTCGGGCCGCGATCTTTTCGGGCCGAGAGGTTGTGGCGAACTCCGCATATCATTCTTTTTGGTGTATACCCACCTGTTCCCCACCCGTCATGCCACTTGTTACTTCGTAAGCTAAGCTAGAGAATGCTAGAGATCTGTATGTTAGTGTCATTTAGTTGTTGCTTGATTGAATGAATAAGGCCTTATATGTACTAACTCAGTCTCACCTGCACAAAAATCATCGCGTTGTGAAGCATCGCCATCACTAATGAATGTTGTTCGAAGACTTCGTCCCAACATTTGATGCCTTGACTGTATGGGGCCCTGATTGTGTTTAGCTTTGTAAACCTATCTAAACAAATCTCGGTGACTCTTTCTATGTGCTGCTTCTTCCCCTTGGTCGTAAGGAAAGCAACCTGATGTTTTAGGGATGGTGAAATGCATGCTCCGTTCTTCCACCTTTGCAAGAGACAAAGCTCAACGTGTCAAGATGTGGGATGGAAATGGACACTCTACATCAAAAGTTGTATATAAACCCGATAATTGCCAGATAATGCATGGGCCATGCGGATCGAAGGGGATTTCCTGAAAGCACCGCAGAAGAAACCAACACCTGGAGTCTCAGAATCAGATCATCAAGCCGCTTTGAAAGAACCTTTGGTAGGTTGAATATAGCCATGTCCTTCGAACACTGTCCGCAACTGCCAGGAGTTTCAAACAGGTTGATTCAAAACTGGAGTCCAGTGGATTTGGATGTCATCCATCCATCCTCCATCCGGCTCAAACCGTTCAGCTCCATCCATTCATCGGGTGAACCCGGACGACTGGACCGAGGCTCCGTGGCCCTCCTGGCTCCAACTTTTACCTTCCTCCAGATCGCCTTGAGGGGCGAGGTAAGGGCGAGATGCACAGACCTGGACCCCCTCAAAATGGAAAACATGGAATAGACGGACGTGTCAATTCCAATTCAAGTATATAATTACTTGTATATAGCTCAGGACTCCAGACTCTTACAATTCAAGTACTTGTACTGATTTGTGCGGGTACATGACCCGAATGTTGTTTGGGTATTATTACTCCTTCATTTAGAATGAAAGCTGCTATCAGGGGACGGGAGTTTGATTTTCTCAAATGTACTATATAGCATTCGCGGACAACTGGACGGCTCTTTGTCTTTTGTGGACAAGTCCCATTTGCAATTCTTTATCAGGGAAACTCCTCTTAAAGAACCAGACACCTTTTTACTGGTGGACATGACATGCCTTTGCTAACTTTGGTGCCTGACATGTTACGCTGTAGACGAACCGTTCCCCTGCAGCTCCAAAAGAACATCCTCATATGGACCGGTAGCTCGTCAAAGTCATGAAGTTGACAAAACCCAGTGGTGAGATCGGCGAGAAGCATGTTATTGACTGTTAAGAACCAGAAATCCATAATTAAGAAGCGGCCGGTTGTATACACCATATGGTCATATGGTGTGGGTGTGTTCCATTGCCAGCATACAAAACTTTATCACAGTTTTTGAGGAATGCCTTTGCTAACCATCATCATCCACTGAGCCACTGTTACAGGTAATGGGATATGCCGTCATGCCGTATACCCAATGTTACTTTCCCTTTACCAGTGGGTTTGGATGCCTTTTTCAGGGTTGCAGGTGTATGATTGAGTGCAGATTGACATGGGGACACCAACCGCAAACCGATTCACATACATATTTATCACATATATATATATCATATATATATGCATGTATATGATATACTCGTATCTAATATAATCATATACATATAATGAATCAGTTCAAGCAACACACATATAATATGATATATAAGATATTGTATATAGTATATTAGTCAATACTGGTTACCTTCATATGTTTACATCACACATGGCTTATACATCCTTACCGTTTGTTCCATGCGTTGAGCAAAGAGTTAGTGGCTCAAATCACTCATATAAACGGCCCACAGCTCTCTCCAGCTTTGCCAAATCTCTCCGTCAGGAACAGCTGGTGGTGAGGCCTAGCCTGCGTTCTCAGCACTCGTTCGGGGGCCCAAGTGAAGTTGCAACGATGTACAAGAGAATGAAGTTGCATTCGAGCAAGGCGGGGTGTATCACCAAACCTAAAAAAGTACCTGGAACAGTTAACGAGGGATCTCCAATAGTCTACCCTACGCTACTTGTGGATCTCCATTCGTCCATTCGATGGTTACTCTGCCAAAAAGGCCGCCTTTCCCTCGATGGGCTCTATCGACTGAGGCAGCCTGGTTCCCGCATCGACACCGGTGTGGCCAGCTCCGCTGCTGCTGTGGTGCCTCGGCTCCGATGCCAAAGACACTGAGCGACAAGTGGTCTATAGCAACTGCGCGGACCTAACAGATGTTGTTATTTGATGTTATCCTCAAAATAGGCACTGGGATGCACTGGGCCCAGATCAATCATGATCACATGATCAATCCTCCTTCCAGGCTTCTTTCAAGCCCCGCTCTAACTTCCAGGCGGGCGCCTGCCTCATTGCCGCCGCCGGGCTCCGCGCCTCCCGCCGCAGCTCGGGCGTGCCGCGGCAGCTCTTCTTCGGGGGCGGCCGAGACCCCTCGCCCGACGATGTCACCAGTAAGGCCGGCGCGTGGCGTTTGGTCCATATACCATCCCTACACATCCCTTACGTGCATGTGTTTTTTTGCCTCTTTTCAGCCGGTCCTGTGTGTGGATTTGTGAGATCGATCGTCAAGTGAAAGGGACCCAAGTTGTGACTGGGTGGGGGGACAGGAGTGGAAGAGACCATGCTTGTGCAGTAGTGAGAGCCCCTTCCAGCCTCAGGTGGAGTTATGTATAATTGATTATCTATGATCAACACGACAGATTTCAAAACAGTCATGTGTCATACTTTGTACATGAGCTAGCAACGCTTGAAGAGCTGAGGCCTTGTTGGTCTCCCGCTCCCAATGACCGCGATCAAGCTGTGTGTTTAACGGTGTTTTGGTGATGGGGGCATCATTTCACGTCATTTTAAGCTCACGATTTGTGAATCTACCTTCCACCTGGTTTAGGTATACATACCATGATGGTATATCAATGATATCAGAACCTCGAGAATTGCGCTGGGTTTTCCAGTGGCACGAGGCTGTTCCTCGCGTGCCAGGTCTACTTTGACATCAGCATCGGCGGCGAGCCAGCTGGTCGGGTGGTCTTTGGCTTGTATGGTATCTCGGCCGCAACTCGTTGCTTCCTGAAAACTTTGAATACCCTGCAAACGACCAAGTTACATAAGTTAAGGGTGCTAATTAGCTGCTTTTGTGTTCTACTTGCACTTTGAGAGACACTCCTGACATCAATGGGTTTCGGTCTACTTCCCTTCTTCCAGGTTGTTTGTTTGTTTGCTTGCTTGCTTGCTTGTTTGTTTGTTTGTTTGTTTTTGAGGTCCTCCCATGTTAGTACACACCCATGTGTTGTGTTGTGTTTGTTCTTTTGCCAGACATTCAATTCCGAACTCTGTGACTTTGCTTTGGATGATGTTTATAAACATCATTATCATGCACAAATATGCACAAAAACAAGCTTCATTTGGAGTCCAGTCTCCAGAACGACCGGACAGAATGGGAACCGGCACTTGGAACGACGACGTGGGCGCCCAACCGTCCGCCACGGTGCCGAACTCGTGGTCTTTGGGCGGGGTCGACGGCGGAGGCGACGTCGTGCCCAAGACGGCAGAGAACTTCCGGCAGCTTTGCCTCAAGGGTCCAGGTGAAGGCTACCAAGGCCGGTTTCTGCCCGGCTCGAGGACAAACCCGCCGGAATGTGTGGCATGAGAATCAGAACCTTGGGGGGGGTGCATGGAAATCCGTTGCGACCTCCAACAACTCCACACTTACAGAAGCCCTTGGTGTCCTATTGACAAAAAGAATGATGCCCTTTTTGTGAGCCTATGTTAGTTCTTTGTCCAACAACAATGCTAAAAATTACCTCAATTGAGCCTTGAGGGCAGGTCTGGGTCCTTACTGTTCCCACGTTCCGTTCCATAGTGTTCCTGGATTGATCAGCTGTGATAGACTCTTCCAAAAAGGTCAACTGTCACCCCTTTGAAAAGACCTGAAGCTGCAAGCATCATATCTCTTGCGAAGGGACTCATTGTATTGATTCAGCCCAGGATCTCAAACTTTAGTTTGGAAGTTTTGAGGGTATTTTGATATGTCTCGGGAGGGACCATGTGTTCTTGCTTCTGTGTTTTTTGTAGCTAGTGTAGCTAGCAGCTTGACCCTCGAGCCCGGTCCAGCCATCGAGCGAGCGTCGTGGTCAGGGTTAGTCGTCTCCAGGCTGCCCGTTTCATCGCGTCATTCCCGGCTTCATGTGCCAGGCCAGGTGCTTTTCGTGTAAAAAGGCACCTCAAGATGATAGCATATAAACGAGACTCTTAATGTTGACCTTTGATTAACCAACAGCGGGGTTCACTTTTTGAAAATTGGTCGACCCTAAATAAAGTGTATCCTAGATGGCAGTAAATAACTTAATAGAGAATTAAAATAGATTAAAATGACAGTGAATAAGTAGTTTAATAGAAAGTTTAAAATGACAGTAAATAAGTAATTTAATAGAAATGACATGCCAACAAACATATAAAATTGAAAGGGAATTAGTGTTTGAATTATAGAATTGAAATCAAATTAAATTTGAATTGAATTAGAATTGAATTCAAATTGAACTCGAATTGAATTGGAATTTAACTATATAGAACTAAATCCGTCTATTTGGAAGAGGTTCCTGCAATTGAGATGAAGGGGAATCAAAAGGAGTTCAATAGGAATCAAAAGGAACTAAAAGGAAATCAATAGGAACCAATAGGAAATCAATAGGAATCAAAAGGACACCAAAAGGACATAAAAAAAAGAATCAAAAAGACCCGGAAGTCTTTTCTGGAACCATGAAAAGCGACAAGGACTTGAGAGGACGAGTTCTCCCACACTTCCAAACAATCCAGGTTCCTGTCATTCGTGTGAGCTTAACAAGTTCACCTAGAATTTCGTTGATCCATCTCCTCATGTCTCAATTTCCTGGTCCACATTGGCCCACAGACGGATCGACAGTCATCTCTAACTGGCCCGACGGATCCACTCCAGACGGATCGCGCGGGTTGGCGGCTTCGGCGGGCGACTCGGCTTCGGCGGGCTTCGGGCGGAGAACTCGAGATCCGTCGCCGTGGCCAGGGCGGAGATTTCACCAACATGAACGGCACCGGTGGGCGCAGCATTTATGGCCGCTCTGCTTGGAGGGAGGAAAGCGAGAGTGCGAAGGGGGGGTACCGGGGGGGGGGGATGGGGAGACAAACGGTTTGGGTTTTATTTTGAAAGAAAAGGGGAAAAAGTTGGCAAAGGATTTTAAAAGGCAACAATAGGATAAGGGGGGGGGGGGTTTAGCCGTTTCGGGGCCTGGCAGACGCCAGATGCCCTGCAATGAGTTTGGTTGATGCGTTGGTATCGGTATTCACCCTTATCATGGGTGTTTAAGTTCGGTTCGGTTGGCGCATGTTGCGACACGTAAGGCACTTGTTCCTAGTAGCTTCTTGTTACTACTAGTAAGGCACCTGTTACTACTAGTAAGGCACTTGTTTCTAATAGTTATTGCTTGTGATCTAATCATTTCTGAGAAAGTCTGCCTGTAGCTGCACGACGAAGGATGCTTAGAACAATCTGAAGAGCTACTTGTACCATTTGTTGGACATTCAGGGTTCGGGTAGTGTGTTCAGGGCGGTTACTTGAGGCATCTCAACGCTTTTGTAACCTTCAGTCATGAACATTCATCACCTGGCATGGTGGAACCCCACTTTCAGACCTTGAACTGACCTACTTCCAGGTGCCTCAATTCCAAGCTGACATGTTTTTTGGTGGTTTTTGCCATGGCACGTGAGAAAGGTGAATGTTTCATCCTCTTTTGATGGTGTGGAATCTTGCTCCGTAAGGATTAGCTGTAGAATCCCATGACCAGTGATGTTTGTAGAACCTTCCCGGCCCACCTGTCAAATTGGATCCTCCTTTCGGCCGTGACCTCCGGATGACAGACACAGCCGTCACGGGCGGCCCGTTCAGCCGAGGCAATAAGTTTGAGGACGAGAACTTCGAGTTTGGGATGCCCAGATGGCACGATGGGCACATGGTTTCATGCGGGTTTGCTTTTACGCGGCACATTGTTTCTTTCTTTAAGGGTGGAAGCCGTGCAAGGCAAAAGAAAAGAAAACAACATGTATTTTTGGTTGGATTCCCTTCCATAAGATGAGCACCTGGAAGAAGGTTCCAAGCTCTACTTTGGGAATCTGAATGGGTTCAGAGTAGGTTCAGACCAGTGATGGTTGAACCGTACTATGGTTGCCTGGCCTGTGGTTGAAGCGAGCGAGTGCTCGAACTCCTGGTAGCTTGTACCATGGTGGACCGGAGAGCTGTTCTGTCGCTTTATGCACAAGAGCGGCCAGAGATGTGGAGTGTTTGTTGAAATGGACTCTTAAAGAGGAAGGACACTTAGTGTCTTGGATTGTCTTGGTCCAGCAAATTGAATCCTGGGAAGATGGAACTGCTTTTTTCGCTGCACCATCATGGTGTTTTTTTTGCAGAGAATGGTTCAGAAATCAGTGTGCACTATGAGGAGTGTGCTTGGGCGGGAGATGTTGAAATATCATGAAATATCTAAAGACAGCACAGCACTATTGACAGGCTCAAAATACCCAATAAGGTGTTTAAATGCGCTTTTCTCTCAGCTTCCAATTCTGATATATTTCTTTTCTTTATACACAGTGAACTTGAGAACCCGACGGCCATTTGGGAAGGGGCCCTTCACCTCTCGAGCGAAGCCAAGCGCACGTTCAGGTTCAACCACACCAAGCCAAGGCCTCAGGGCCTTCGAGCACAGCTTCCCTTTTCAGTTGACGCGTCGACTGGCCGGTGAAGTCGGGCACCTAATAGCTACTGGCCTCCAACCTAGTAGCGATGGCGTCCAAGATCCTCCAAGTGAAAATGGTAGAGACTGACCTGGCTGGCCACCCCACCGGCCATGTTTCGCCGTCCGCTGGTCCCCTGAGGCCTGGATTGCTCAGCATGGCGAATGCTGGGCCCAACACCAATGGTTCTCAGCCGCCCGACTCAGCCGGGCCCAACGCACTGATCGCCGGATGGTGAGTTAGAGACGGAGGTTGGTGGTGAAACGAAGAGCGGAGACCACCTGAAGGAAAAATCCCAATGAAGATCAATTCAATGAAGGAAAACCGGGTTTTGCTTTTATGAATAGCCTTGCAAAGAGGTGAAAAACATGTTCAATACCACTCCTTAGTGGGTCCAGGTATTGATTTCGTTTAATTGTTCGATCAGTTTGACCAGTTGCTGGAGTTGAAGCAACGGTCCTTTGCTTCGGCGGGCTCATCCTTGGACCACTGCGAGGTTCAGCACCAGTTCTGTTCCCTTTGGGAAACATGTTCGAGATCGACTCGAACCAAATCCAAGATCTTCACCAGATTGTTTCTTCGACTCCGAAAAGGCATGCTGGAAGCATTGTGGATGCCATTTGGACGTCGCTTGTTCGCCTGTCGGAAGTACCTAGCTGTTCATGGAGTTTCCCACGTTTATCATGACATCATGGCCCCGCCTGTTCTACAGTCTTGTGGCATCTTGTGGCATATATTGCCGAACGGTCCGGTTCGTGTGGCACCCGTCACGAGGTTCTTCATTACGGTGGCACCCACGGACTGGCTGAACGGGAAGCATGTGGTCTTCGGTGAGGTGCTGGAAGGCGCCGCAGCAAGTTTACGCGGTGGGAGGAAAGCGGCCACCGAGGAGACAGGGGCGGGTTTGGACTCACCGGAGGTGTTCATGTCAGAAGAGAAGAATAGACTATAAAATACTATAAAATATTTGTTGCACAGGAGTTCTGCGACAGTATGTGATAATGTTACACCATGCTGAAACTCTTTTAAACTTACTGTATGATAGTAGGTGATTTTGCGAGTCAGGGTCGTGGGTACGACAAAATTCGGCAACATCGGGTTTCCCACGATTTCCGCACTCTTGTTTAATCATCCCTAGTCACGCAACAGGACCGACTGGTCGTTTTTTCTCGTTTGATCTGACTCACAGGCTACGACGTGGTGGAGAAGATGGAGTCGGTGGGAAGTCAAAGCGGACGGCGAACACCTCAGTTGACAGCCAAATCCAACGGCAGACCCGACAGACAGACCAGACACTGCCCGATGACGGACGGTGTGTTTTTCACCGAACAAACAAAACGGGGAATCTCTCTTCCAAGAACACCTTCTCCAACCTTCAATATTCCTATTTGAGTTTATGTTGCATTCTGTTGAATCTAATTTGTTTTAGTATAAGAAATGCAACATCCGAAGGAATACAGTTTAAGTTTCACCACTTGCATGATTCATAGAGATTCTCAGTTGTCTTTTTCCAGGTGAAAGAGAGGCCATTACGACAAGATAGCTGGGTTTTGGAGCAAAAGACAAACACTTGCGGCTTGCTTGTTGGGTTTTTGTTCAGGTTCCCAAAGTCAGGGCCCCCGAGAACAACAGCATGTGAACAAACCTTTCAGAACAAAGCTGAGCATGTTTCCATGCGATCTTTTATGAAATAACACAATCATATTGACTCATACGACCATGTGCAAAAGAAGGATTGCCCAAAATGGGATCCCGGGGGGACGACTTCCACCCACCGCCGGTACTGATGGAAGCCCAGGACTCGCGCGCAAGTGGTCATCGATGACTCCGGAGAGCTCTAGGGTGCTGAAAAATGCTTGGAAGGGATTGAGAAAAGGATTGAGTTCCTTGAAACCCTATAACCCTAATATATATATAGAGTGGATGTGTTGTTCAAGGTGACAACTGCAAGAGCTCAATCCTGATTTTGGCATGCCACCTTTGAAGAGGTATGCCCATGTCCTGCTCCCTGCAAGCAAGGCAGCCGAGCAGTTATAGTCGTGATAGTTGTAGGGATGGTATGGGTTTCTAGGCAATTTTCTTGTCCAAACCTTTGCGTCAGTGGGAAAGTCTGTGCGTTTGGAGCATGATTTGCTATGCAACTTCCACAAATTGGCAGTTTGTCGAGGAAACTGGAGTGCCAAAACAGAACTGACTCTCCCTCTCTCTCTCTCTCTCTTTGTTTGTCTCTTTGTACCAAAGTTATCAAGATGCAATAACCCCAGGAATGTTGCATGCCTTACCTACCTGCCAGCCTTACTTGCTCTCAAGAGACGGAAGTTGCAAACGCGTTCGTTTGGCCCTCGACGTCATGGCTGGGACACATGACTCGCCAAACGGTGCAGCTTCTCCGCTTGGGAGCGAAGCCTGTCACTGGTCTTCGAAGGACTCCTGACTGGAGAGTCTATGATGCCATATAAATATCTTCACTAAAGAAATATTAGATAAATGTAGATATATATACTTGTTGGTCATTGTCAACATTTCTCAAATAGTTCGTCTGCTTGGCTTTTCGTTTGGGAGGACATTGTCGAGATCATCCAATGCTGGATGCAGACCAGCTGTCCGACTGAGGGAGCTTCAGCTCTTTGGCGAGGGAGTGGTTCACAAGTCACTGAACACCTGGTACTGTCTTGGTGTAAAAGTATGCTGCATGCTGTATACCCGATAGAGTACCCAGTAGATGAGCTAGAGTACCCGGTGATAAGCACATGATGCTCGGTGTTTGTTTTCGATCAATACGGCCCCGCGCGGATGGCTTACCCGGCCGTGGAATGCATGGATGCTCTATGGACAGGGCGGTACTGTGAATGCTGGAACTCACTGCCATCATTTGCCTATAACCTCAAGCCTGAGAAGAAATATAATCATATTCAATGTGTTTTCTTTGTGAAGACCCTGATGCTTGATGAAGAAGCCTCGCGAGGCTTCAGGCGGCGTAGATTTTGAACAGGCATTTGGATGCTTCTGTCCCTGATCGCCCAGACTGCACAGTATAGACACACATTCAATGTCGACTTTTTTGAACATTCCTCTTCAGGATTCTCATTGCAAAGATGCCCCGCAGAGCACAACTGGCTAATTTGCCAGTTGTGTAATGGCACTTTGCTGCACTGAAACAAAACAATTCCTGGACATTGATATGCTATACTGAAACTGTTTATATACTGTTTATCCAAGACTAAGATAACAACTGTGAGAAACCCTGGAAAGGATATAGTAACAAACCAAGTTCATGCAAATTATTGTTTTTTTTTCCCCTCAACACTAAACATGTTAAACTGCTTGTGTTCTACGTAAAACAACACTCACATAATTAAACAAGTTTTGTTTTTTACACACCTCAAGACATACCATAAGGAACCATGCATACTGGTATCCACATAATGTGTCATAACGCTCTACATTAGTCACTGAAAGGGCAATAGATGCACAGTGGTTTCAGAGTAGATGGCACAATCCACAAAAAAAGGTGGTTTATGCGGCCCCCCGTCTAAAAGACATTTGGGGTGCCGGTGCCATCTACTCTGAGCCCACTTGTTTCACAACAAACCCAAGCACCAACGTCGGTGGGTCGAGGACACCTCGCCCCAGGTGTCGATCGCTGATCTGCTGGACGAGTGTGACGCCCTGGAAGCGATCGCGGGCTGCAGCGCATCCATCGTGGACGCTGTGAAGACCGAAGGCGGTACGAGTAGTACCGACTCGTACCGGTCGCGGTCGGAGCATTTTGGGCCGCAGCGAAGGGGATTGGTTGGAGCTGAAATCGGTTGAGAAGTGAGTCATATAGCATGCAGCCCGGCTGCTCGGTCGTTTTGCTTTCTGAAACAACTGAAATGCTTGGAGGTTCCAAGAGGGGGCGGGCAAGTGGGGCCAAGCTGGAACGCGCATTTCAATTCCAAGGCGAAGATACAGACCTTGTTGCAACAAGAACACAAATTCTATTTATTGTTATTAAACAGAGGAGAATCAAGAACTACAATCCTTGGACCGTTCTCTAAGCACAAGAATGAAGCAATTGCAACAACATTATCCATAAAAAGAAAACGAGGCAATCAGACAAAACATCACACAACAACACAGACACAAATAGGCGTCTATATACACTCACTTCAGTTATCTTGAGCTTGTTGTTACTGATCAGGGAATCCACTTAAAGACCTTTTGACCGTCTCACCTCTACCACCGTCATGCTGCTCACCTGTCAGGCCTGGCTTCTCCGCTGTTCTATGACGAAGGAAGCGCGGTGCTCTACTTGAGGCCTTTGCTGGAGCATCTTCGCTTGGTGGTGGAAGAGGTGATGAAAGTCCAGCTCATTCCAAATGACATGAGTTTCTGCAGCAGAACGACGGAAGCGCGGGGGGGAGTCCAGACCATTCCATGGTTGAAGCTGGGGAGTCCAGACAAACATAAGTCACAGTTGGACACCGGTTTTGGATTGATCAAATGTATGACTAATAGTATGACTTTTCACCCTCAAGCCTTACAAAGACCGGCCGCTTCCTGCTGTGTCAACCTAGCTTTTTGACTTAGATCCGAGCTTGCACCTCAGCTCATGGGTACAGTATGGTACAGTCAATATCTGAAGGATGTTGCCATCAAAATAGACAAACATCCGCTGCAACTTGTTGCATTTGAACCATTGTCTCAGCTTGTCTACAGATGTTAGCCAGGGCAAATTTGGAGTCGTTTCTTCTGGAAGACACGTTTCGCTCTTCTCTTGCATCGCCCCCCCTTTTCGGCGCCGTCCTCGATCCCCCCAACCGTCACGGAATGTCGATTCCCCTCGGATGTGTCGGGCCGGCCAGCGGGGAGCCCTTGGTCATGGCACCCGATGTCGAGGTTTGTTGGAGTTGATGGATCAGCCCTTGGTCTTAAAAGCCTTCGCCCGGCGGAGCTCACGGCACATGGAGCGCATGGAGCAGCTGCAGGAGGCCGTGGCAAGCTCAGAGAAGGCGGGTTTGGTGGAGAGAAGGGGTTCGGGTTGGAGAGAGTGGGTGGAAGATCAGGTTCTTCCGAAGTTCTTCCAGGTGCTTCCCCGCAATGACTGTAAGCAATTTGTCTCAATTAGTTCTTTGTTATGCACACCACCATTGTAGGGGAATGGCCAATTCAATTCTGTTTCTTTGCAGACCCTCCCCAGCTTCAACCTGTTCGACCGGTGGCTTCGTTGGTTTCAAACATGTTTGCCAGAGCCGCAGGTGGCTTTGTTGGGCAATCGCGTCGTGCCCAAGATTTGGATCCCTGGTCCTCGCAGTGGGGCTGGTGGAGCTGGTACTGGCGGAGCGGTTCGTGCGCCCGGAAGCTTCTGCGCACGGGATGAGTATCCAGGTGGGGTTCCTGGTGGTGACTTTTGAAGTAAGCTTCAAAAGTTCAACTCTGACCCTTAACATCATGTCAGGCGTCTCTGGATGTGCTCCCTGCCTGTCGGGCGACGAGTTCTCCAAGGGCGAGACCTGGGAGATTGGCGAACCGAGGCGCTGCGGTGGTGGACTTTCATTGAGAAAAGAAAGTGCTGAGGATTGGACTCCGGATTCTGCCACATTGCTGTGGATTTATGACGAACAAGTGCAAACTCCGCTACTTTAGAGACTGGTCTAGTCCTACAGCCGTCATCGCAAGCCTCCAGTGGCGCAAGCGCATCTTAAGATGTCCGTTTTCGCGCTCCCTTCGACCCCTTGGGCCACGATGGCCCAGGAACTCGCCAGAATGGATGGGCATGCAGAGGCGACAGCATCGAAACGTTGAATATGTCCAGGCCAGTTTGGGCACACAAGGAGGAAGTTCCTTCCTCAACTAATTCAGACTTGCAAGTGGGAGAGGGGCTGTTATAGCAATAATTCGTTACTATCAGTTAGATATTTGTTGTCATGTTTGCTTCGTAACTGTTTTGTCGCTGTAAACATAGAACAAAATGCTGTACTGCAAAGTCAGAACATCAAGTTGCAACATGCTGTAAGGATCTACAGAAATCTTTAAACACGTAGTATGACTCCAGTGGGTTTGGAGGTTCTAAGGTATTGAACTCCCAACGGATGCACTTGTTTTTGGTCTCCAATGTGCTCACACCAGAGTGTTTGTAGCTCAGCCGAGTAGGGTTTCAGCCTCCTAACTTAAGATTCTCCGATCAGAAACAGTCAACGCATGAACACTGATCCACTTCTCCCAGGTGGTGTAGGTTGAAGCCAATGTTTTGCGGTGCGGTCACATCATCAGGCCCGAATCAAGGGTCACTCCCTGAAAAGACTCCGTGGTGAAGGGGGTGAACCAACAAGGAACAGTTAGCAGACAGATCAAAGAACGTCCCAAATCCATTGAGACACATTTGCTTTGCCTCGTGTTTTTTCTGCATTATGTTCTTTGTGCACTTTTGATCTATGCCTGATTTGGGGTTGCAGTAGGCCATGTCAATGCAGCCTGCAGGCAGTTGCGACGCTTTTGGAGGAAAATGCACCTTATGCAGATGAGGAGGGATGGGTGCCTTTGGTTCGAATAATGCGGCAATCAATCAGCATCCGGCGAATCAAGAAGGAAGAGGAAGCTTGATACTCTTTGGTACACATGTGATTTGTCGTTTGTATTTTTGTGACTAATTCACATGAAGTGTACGCATTCCTCAATAGATTTTGAGAGACAGTCAGTCGACAAAACGAAGCAGCATCCATGTGGCAACTTGTTTAAAGCAGAGATATTATATACCTAGACCCCGCAAAAGACTCTTTTTTCCCGGTGGGGGCAATTTTCAGGCAAAGCTCAAAAAAAAACGACACAGCAAGCAGATTTGGTGTCGATGTTTGTTACTTGTGCGTTGATGTTTGGCACTTCTGCGTCATTTTGGTGTCATGTTTTCTATCGCGC